CTGTCTGATCCTCCGAGGAGAGGTCGTGATCATCCAGCTTGAAACTGTTACCGAAGTCAATGTCGAAGAACGAAGAGAGCTTCGATTCATCAAAGAAGATGTGAGCTGGCATGCGCGGCACGGAGGCCTCCTGAGGCAAGGATGGATGAAGCTTCTGGACCAACTGCTTGTGCTGCTCCTCTGCCTCGGCGAGCTCCGAACGAAGCTGAACCACCGCGTCGCGCTGGGCTGCCAGCTGCTGCTCCAGAGTGTTGTACTTGCCCACAGCCTGCACCAGCTTGCGCTCAATGCCTTTAGCACGCTGATGGGCGTTGTTGAGCTGCACCTGCGTCGACTCGGGGACCGTCTTCGGCTCAGAGAGAGCCTTGGCTGCAACACGGTGGGCCACAGCGCCCTGCTTGTCCCCGAGCTTCTCACACAAAGAGGTCAGCTGCTCGTACTCCTCGGCAGTGAGCGGCGGCTTGGAGGTGTCGCCAGACCCTCCAGAGCCCCCGTTCCCTCCTCCTTTGCCTCCAAGCAAGGGCCCTGGCGAGCCGAGAGCACCAGATGGAGGTCGAGTAGGAGGGGGGCCTGCTGACCACGGAGAGCTAGGATCAACCTTCGAGGCCGACTTGAGCGCACGGCAGTGCTTGCAGAAATAGAATATGGATTCGTTCTTACCGCATCCAGAGAATGAACATTTCCAGCGTTGACCCTTGTTAGCTGGATCACGGCGAACACCATCACCAGCAGGACGAAGGGCAACTTGAAGACCTGGCGTGAGCGGCGGCCACGAGTGCTCGAACTGCACCTGCTGCCTCTGCATAAACTGCCCACATTGGCCACCTGGCGACTGCTGCGGGGAACTCCCCCGCGAACGATGCCATGGTGCCCACGTGACCCTGTGCTTGCCGCCCGCGCCTGAACCGCCCGCCATCGCTGCCGAGGAGACGTGATGGTTGCGACTCGTCGAGATGAATGAGGGAGCGCCCTAAGCGAAAACAAACCGAGCCAGAGGCCCGCAACAGCACTAGGCCGTTCTGAAGGCATGCTGCTGCAAGCTGAGGCTATAAAAGCCTGAGCCAGAACGGCTAGGCTTGAGCCAAAATGGCTACGGAGCATCGGTTGCCTCGGTTGCCAGGGAACCCAAAAAGGACGCACGCGCCCAGCCACGTACACATGTTACGTCAGCGGCGAGGCAGAGAAGCTGCTCCAGCGGGCGGCGATTCGGGGCGACCGATACGCCAGCCACGTACACTTGAATGCGCACCCCCAGTTCGCGGGGGCCGCTGATGTCCCGAACGCTCGCGCCAAGGAGCTCTTCCGAAGCCCATGCGAGTCCATGCGCGCGCATCTTCGCCCCGCTCCTGGGGCCCGCTGGGAGGCGAGCGCCCGTGGGCGGCCCCGTCGGGCCCCGATATCTCCCTCGAAAAGGCGCCCCACTTGAAACCGTGCGCGCCTTCGCAGGCTCGAGCGCTGGCCAGCGACTGCACCTGTCGTTGCCGGGGCTTCTTGCAGTACTGAGCGGCACAGCAACGAATGCCCTGTACTCAAACGACTATGTCGGAAAGCCCGCCGCACGCAGCTCGTGGGCGGCTCGATCGGCGGGGGACAAACCTCCCTTTAGTAAACCTCCCCTTAGTGAAAACGGCCTGGGACCGACACCGACGGACCTGGACCCGCAAAAATGACGGCCGCGGCGCCCTCTCGAGAACCGAAAACGGCCAATCCCTTAATCGACGTGTCAGGGCAGGAGGTCTATCAACCTCCGATACTCAAACGACTATGTCGGAAAGCCCGCAACCCGCAGCCCGTGGGCGCCTCGAAGGCAGGAGGGGCGCCCGGTGCGGGCGCCCGTCGCGAGTGCGGCCGCTCGCGGGGGCGGGGCGGGCCCCCATTGCGCGCGGCGGCGGGTGCCCGCGTCCGGCCTGGCATGCGTGCTTCCCGCCTGCGGGTGGCCGCCCGCGGGCGTCCCAACGCCCGTGACTGGCAGGGTGGGCCAACGCCTGTGTTTCGGTCGTGTCGGTTTTCGTTGTCCCTCGTTCTGACTTCGTTCCGCCTCTGCCGCAACAGGAGATCCACACGGGAACGGTTCACGACATCGCAGAACATCGTTTAGCTTGAGCCCTGGTGTGGACATGGGGCGCCAAACGCGAGGCTGCCATCGGGACGGGCTGGCAGGGAGGCCCTGAGGAAGGCCCAACGGCCGAAGAGAGCCCCTTCGCAAGAAGAAGGAACCAAGAACGGGGCGCCGAGCGGATGATGTTGCTTGTTCTCCCCCGAGCGCAACTTTGGAAATGGCGGGAAGAGTGAACAAATAGGGCGCAACTGATGAATCGAAGAACACTCGGCACTCTGTGCAACGCGGGAGGCAACGAAAGTCCAAGCAAATGATACGGAATCAGAAAGCGAGGACCAAGAGAGACCATGGGCGGCAATGAACGAGAGGGGGGGAGAAATGACGCGCGCATCATGGCCAGCAGAGGCACGACCGAAGCACAAAACCTCTGCACGCGGTGGACGGGACCAGTTCAAGGTCGAAGTCCGACTTGAACCTCACTCCCCAGCCTGGCATTCACCAAAACTGGTCCTGAGAGAAATGGGTCACGGATACCCGCCACAAGGGGCTCCGCTGAAGCAGCTGCCCCCATCTGAGCCACGTTTGACGGTCCCATGGCGCGGGACGGGCCCCACCCCCCCCCTGGAAGAGCATGGCAACATGTTTGTGATTCGACCTCTTGCCGCATGCCGCCTCTCTGGACCCCCGACCTCGAAGTTGGGTCAACCACGGCCGACGGCGGGAAAATCGGATCGCGTGGGCCGCCGCACGAGCACTGGTACGGAGGGGCGCGGAGAGGCGGGCCACGCGCGAGCGCTGTACACCCTGCGAAATGCTTAAGAAATCATGGGTTAAAAAATTCAGAGTCTCAGAACTGGAATAAAAACCAAAAATTTACATTAAAATCTTAGGAGTTACATTGGAAAGTTAAGAATAATCGAGACTCTGGCTGAACTTTTAAGTTTTCTTAAGCATCGCCTAAGGTGTACTTCTCACGGGTAGTGCGGGATCAGGAGATTGCGAAAAAACAGTAGACCCCTCCCCTCCCTGCTTCACGCAGAGCCTCTCGCGCCCGCTCCCGAGGTGCCCCACAATATCTATCCGAGACGTCCGTGGAGCTCCCAGGGAGAGGATCCCAACAGGACTCTGCGATGCCAAGGCCACACACAATGACAACACACAACCGAAACAACTGGCTGAATCGACATCCAAACTGGCACCGACCGACCCACAACGAATCTGACAGAACTGCCGAGAAGGGCGCAGCGACGCGGCAACGACGCCGCCAACGACTGCACTGATCGGGGGTTGCTGAAGGTGCCCTGGGCCCTAGGTGCCCCCCCCCCTTTTCACTCGATTTCGGAGCCCCTGGGGGCCTTTGGCCTTTGGGCCTCGTGAGGGGTGCTCTGCATGCCATGGGACCTCCTTTGAAATCCTGGGGGAAACGACGCAGCAACGACGCCACCAACGAGTGCACCGAACAGACCGAACGTGAGAGACTGCGACGCAGCCGGAACGGACGCAAGTCTGCCCCGATGAGTTTCTACTGCGTGGCCCACGACCCCCTCGACCCCTTCCTGGGGACCAGCGGGGCAATGAAAGCTGGGACATGTCATGACCCAAGGGCTCCATCTAAACACAATGTTGTCCCTTTAGATGTTGGTTTCGTTTTACCTGGTTCTGTCGTCGTCCTGCCTTTACACCAAACCGAAAACGAAACGAAAAAGGTTTACGAAATCGCCAAAACACCGTTTAGCTCGAGCCCTGCATGACCCAGGCCATGATTTCCACACCCCGCTAGTCCTCACCCACATCTTCAACGCCCCCGAACCGTCTCTTGATGATTCCTTGGGCCCGGAAGCGCCTCCCTAAGGCCGAACACTGCAGAAGAAAACCGAACTCCCGGACAATAACAAGAAGCCGCGACCCTGGAGGCCGGGGTTGGTGAAGAGCATGCGTACGCCCATCGTGCTGCCATGGGAACGATGAAGAAAGACAGACGGGCCTGTGCTGGCCACGGCGAGCCTCGGCTATGTACGAACAAGGTCCACGAGCTGGACCTGGGTAGCGGCCAAAAAACCCAGTTCCCCCTGAGCCCCGAGGTGGTCCTTACAGTCAACACGTACCATAAGGATGCGCGGCGAGAATGCAAGGGCCTCGGAGGGTCACGATAACGCTTTTCGAACGAGGCTGGCCAGCGAAAGTCGCTGAGGATGGACCGAGGAGGCGAGGATGCAAGAATACCCTTGGGAAGGTTGCCCATCCTTACCGTGCGGGTTGACTGCACTTCAGCGTCTTGGCTGCACGACAAGCTCCTCGCGTGACGACTACTTGCGCGTTTGCTCCTGACACCGCGCGGACCGTTCATCCTTGAACGATCCCTGGGTGGCAAATCATGAAAGCCTACGCTGATCGACGCTGACCGACGCCAAATCGGCGCTATCTCATCGACCCCCAGACGCTAATCGACGCTAGTCGACGCTAAAGACAGAATTGCGGGAGCGGCCAAGAGGAGGGTGTCCAAGAGGGGGGGTGCAAATCATGACAGGCGGCATGTGCGCGGCCCAGTGGGGGGGCCAGGGACGTAATGAAATAAGAAGGGGCGCCATGAAATCTGAGGAAAAAACATGGCCCGCGCCATGAAATCCACCCCCCCCTAGTCATCACCCCCCTCTTTTCCGCTCCCGAGAATTGCGGGGGTACGCAAGGCTCCCATGACTTGCTACCGAACGATCCCGTCTCTGGGGTCGCTCGATGCCTGCCGATTTCGGGGGGCCACCGGCGGCGTTCCACCCTGGACGCCCACGCCAAGGCCGCCGCCGCATCGATGCGGCGAGTACCTGCCGCATCCACATGTTCCGTTCGCCGAGGAGGAGGCAAAGGGGGTGGGCGGCAGACCAGGGGCAGCGAGCTGCGCGCGAGGCGGGCCGAAGCGGGGGCTGGCGTCGCCGAAAGCGAGGGCCTCCTCGTTGAGGACCCGCGCGACAGAGGTCAGGACTGGCATTATCACGCGGTGCTGCTCTGCGAGCTCCACCACCAGCCTGGGCGGGAGCGAGCTGGGCCACGGGAGAAGCCGGGACAGACTCGGTGTGAACAACGTGCGTGTCGGAAGAATGTCACGGAGCTTTGCTACTCTAAGAGGGGTTTGTCGCCCCCAATCCCGGTTTTCGAATGTGCCACAAATTTGGGGCCCAACCCGATGGGGGGGCGTCCATCTTCGATAGGGGTGCGTCCGAATAGCCCCCTTGGGATGTATCCCAAAGGTTCACCCTTCTTTCTGAGCGGACATCGGCCGGAACTCGAGGATTGGGGAGCAAAATCGCCTGTGATATTCGGTCCCAGCCTCGGACTTGATCGGACTTTGCTTGCACATCGCAAGAACGTCGCGAAACTTTACTGGACTGACTGGACAGGACACGCGAGGGGACATAAGACCCTTCCGAGAGCCACATTGCAATAGGAATGTAGATGGCATGGGTCGCGAGACACGGCACCCAAGGGTTCCCTTGATTTGGCAGGGCCGAACTAGTGTGTAACCAAGGCCCACTGTATTCGGTCCCAGCCTCCCTCGCGTCACAAAGTCTGGCCCTCCTCGTCGCCACGGCGAGACGCGTCTCGGAGCACGTGTCGCAATGGTGCCGGAGAAGGACACGGTGATCGGCTTTCCGCGTATGTCTAGCTGGGAGATGGAGGAGGAGGAGGAGGAGGAGCAGGAGAAGGGGGAGAAGGAGGAGGAGGGGGAGGAGAAGGAGGAGAAGGAGGGCGAGGATTCGCTGGACAAGATTTGGTCGTCCTCGCGGCAACGGATCGCTGGGCCTCGCAGCTCCTAGGTGAGAGTCGAGAACAACCCCGAGACCCTGAAGGCCAGGGCGGGAGGAGGGGGGGGCAGGGGAGGAGGGCGCCAAGGAGGTGCGGGACAAGGGAAAGGTGACGAGGAGCTTGCCATTCACATCCGGCATTGCTTGGCCTTGCCATACTGCATGTCTTCGTACGGGGCGAGCAAGGGAATGTAGAGGCAAGGGGGGAGAAAGTGGCGCAGAAGGAGGCGGGAACAAAGAGATGTGTGGGAGGAAAGGTAACGCGACAAAACCTATCCCCCGAGAACGAATCGCAGACCCACGCTATCCGGAGTCCGGAACGAAATCAACGATTCGAAACACTTTCAAGCCCTCCAGAGCTCACACTTCCTCATCGCGCCAGAAGGAACGCTGAATAAGGACGTACGGAGCATTTCTGGTGGCCACAATTTTCGGCAACAAAAATGTTCCCCAATCAAGCTCTAAGGAACAGCGAAGACCAGAACATCGACGGAATCCGAAGTGGTCCTTCTTCCAACGTCTTGACTTCAATCATATGCCTGTCCCAACAGAAGAACAATCGAAACTGGTCGTGCAAAGATTCCAACGCTTTCGCACATGGATAAACAAGCAATCATAAACTGGCACGCAATCAAAACGAAACGATGTATGTGCAAATCCGACTCCCAACTATCGGGGGGAAGGGGAGGATGCGAGGCGACTATCTGTTCATATCCAACACCTTGGGAACCGATACCCAGGAACCAGACGTGAGCGGTCTATGTTTTCTCACACGTCTTCTCAAGAGGGCGGTGGACACGGATACGTTTAGGCCGAAGAGGGCCCGGAACCACATGAACATATATACACGTCCATCCATCCATCCAGTCATACATTACATCACCATACATTCCGTTGCAGTATAATAAATTATGTTACGCCATATTCGATATGCTACATTAAAATTCATTGCATTCCGTGACATTGCATTCCATTATCTGGCAGTACCTTACCTTGTCTTGTACTACATCCCTTTGTCGTACATACCATTGCGCGACATGTTGTTATACCTATAGTTATTCCACTACGGTACATCATATCCCATCATGCCACATTGTATTACACTACATTGCAGTACCACATATGACATGCCATTACATCACAGTGCGCTCCATTACAAACATTATACACGAATGATCATATATGCACATATATATATATAGATGCCCGCAACCTGCCGACCTCCTCCCCCCGAAAATCTGAGACGCCACACTTACGGATATGTAGCGTCCTGTATTTACGGGTAAGAGTCAGGGGAGGCGGCCATGCATTGCCCGAAATCCACCGACCTTTCGGCGCGTGACAGACTCTGTCGTCGTCGTGGTCGTCGTCGGTCCCAAGGAAATTGATGAAAAAAGAACTTGAGAAACTTCGTTGGTAAGTCCAAGGAAAGCCCTTTCCCTTCGATCCCGCGGGTCAACGATGTGGTCCTGATGCATGGGGTTCGAAGGACGAGGTGCCTACAACAGCGCAAATCCACGCTTGGATCCCTTCCTATCCTTAGGCCCCCATCCATCGGGACCCCATCTTGGAACCATCGAGCCTGACAATACCCGCCTCCGCTCGGCGGCGAGCGAGGGGGTGAAATGAGAAGGAGAAGGCCTTCTCAGAAGGCGGCGGGAATTCTATGAAACGCCCTCGCGCCTTCTGAGAAGTTTTTGTCTCTCTTCGGGGGAGGCCCAGGAAACTCCTCAGAAGGCCGGGGGACTTCCGAGCCTTCTGAGATGGGCCGCCCCTTCTCAATTCCCACCCTCGCTCGCCGCCGAATCGGGACCCCATATTGGAACCATGGAGCCTGACATCCCCACCTCCTCGGTGAGAAGGCGTCCCCGGACGCCAGGGCGGGGCACGCGAGACGGCCGGCCGCAAGGGCACTCGCAGCACTACCCCCCCGCGTGCTGCCCCCGAGTGTCGCCCCGAGCGGCCGAGCCCTGCCCCCCGCCACGCGCGCGCGGGCAAGAAAGGAAGCCGCTCGGGCCCCCTCCCCAGAGAAGGAGAAAGGTAGCCACACCGTTGCCCTTCGCCCGTTTTCCACTGTTTCGGCCTCCTGGGAGGCCCTCGTCGCCACCGCTGGATTCGCCTCGAAACTCTGGTCAGAACGCAGCCCGGGAGAGGCCCGGCGCCTGAGATCCCCGCATCGGCGAGGAGGCGTCCCAAGTTACACCCGGGCACACCGGGGCGGGGCGTCGGCGAGACGGCCGGTCGCTGCAGCCAGCGCCGAGCGCGCGCGCGCGCCTCGCCGTGAAGACGCCCTCGGACGTGCCGCCTCCGCCGGCCAGCGCCTGGCGCCGCCGCAGCTCTCCGTCCCAAGGGGCACGGCGGGAAGCGATGCTCGGCCTCGCCCCTCCTCTTGACCGGTGCGCGGCGGATAGCTCCATAATAGTCAACCCGTATGAACGAGGACGCGCGATCAGAAGGATGCAAAAAGGCTCTGAAAAGCCATGTCGACAAATGCTGGGCGGGGCGCGGCCAGCGAATGCGGCCAAGGATGGGCCGCAAGGGAACGGTGCAAGGGTAACCTTAGAAGAAAGTTGTTGATCCTTACTGCGCGGGTTGACTGTATCCATCGTAGTCAAGACCGCGGGAAGCTCAGGCTGGGCAGCTATTGGGCAGTGGAATAAGGAGGCCTCAAGAGCAGCTTCCCTCCCAAGACGGCCCAGGATACTCCAATGAGGGGGGGGGCGCCTGGCAGGCAGCTGCAGCCGCAATTAGAGAACTTCCAATGGACGGAACGCAGGTGGGCAAACTGACGTCGTGGGCATACGCGAATATCAAGTCGCCTACTACGACTACACGACACCTGCATCCAACAAAGGCACCGAATCAAATCATACTAGGCGTTGTACACGCCGGCCTAGCCTTCGGGGCGAGATCCCGTCGCGGTCGCATGGATACGCTCCGCACAAGCATCCACGGACAAAAAACGCCTCATTTCCATGTGGTCGCGGCCTTGGGGACCGGGCCGCCAGGCTGTGGATATGGATACGTGCTCCTGCTGCGATTGACGAGGGGTCTGGCGACTCAATCCCCGACTTTGTGGCAGGCAAGAAGATTGGGGCCCGAAGAGCTCGAAGAGCGTATCCCCAAGATCCCCCCCACCCTCCGGCCGCCTGCACACGTCTTGGCGCGAGCCGAGGGGTTCGTTGCGGAAGGGGTCGGTTTGCTCGGGGTCGGTTAGGCCGCCGCTGACCTGTCCCAGACATCCGGTGCTTTCTTTTCGTTCACTGCGAAGTCCCGAGTCCCGACCCTTTTCCCAACGCTGGCTTGTCATCTCGAGTCGTTTTTTTTATACCGTCCTTGGGCCCGACGAAGGCCACGGGAGACCGAAAACGGCCAAAACATTCCATCGCGGTTTTCCTCACGAGGACCATGTCAGGGGTGCTGCAATCACGAGAGCGGGGCTGAGGGAATCAGGTTTGGGGCCCCACTGGGCCCTTCCCCGTTGAGAGCCTGGCGTCCAGACCGCGGCAGCGAGGGCCCCGACCGCGGGAGCCCGGAGGCGGCGGAGCAGTGGCGGGGAGAGCACGGACGAGGCGGGGAGGGGACAGGAGGCCACATGCGAACCCTTCCCCACCTCCCCCCTCTCGAAATCGTGGGGTGGTGGGGCAGGGTTCGCATGTGGTCTCCGAAGCGGACACGAGCGGGAGAGCGGGGGGGAGGAGCGGAAAGACGGACGCGCGGGGGGGGGACAACTGTTTTTTTGTTCGCCGACGGCGGGTCTCGCCCGCGGCTCGTTTCGACGGCGCTGGCTTCGCCTTGCTGGCTTCGTCGACCCGCCCGCTGTTTTCGCCCCGCTGCTTCCAACGACCCATCAGTCAGGGTCCCGTCCGCCCGCCCGATGCAAACTGAGCGTGGGTGCGCAAGCCATGTTGGCCAACCCGCCGCCACTTCACCTTGGTTTCTGACAATAATTGCGGGCGGTTGCCCGATGCGTGCTGTCACGTGCATCGGCGCAGCTGCCACGCTCTGCGCTCGTCGCACACCTGGCGGAGCTGGAACATGTGGCACGCTTGGCGCGTGTGGAGCACATGACACATTTGGCGCACCAGGCACTAGGTGCGCATTGCACGTCTGGGCGCCTTTGGTTCCTGGCGCGCATGGTGACACTGGCACTCGTGGCGCACCTCGCGCGCCGCGCCCCTGGCGACTGTAGGGGTCCCAAATTGGTTGTTCATTCGATGGCGATGCCCACGGTTCCTCCTGTAGTGGAAGGGCGGGTGGGAGTGAGCAAGACACGCTGTGACGTTCCCACGTGGGCCTGACGCCTCGCGAGGTGGTCCTTTTGGGCCAAAGATGGGCCCCCTGGCCCCTGAGAGGCCAACATTTTTTGTTGGCAATGGTAATCGCAGCTTCGCATCCGATGGGCTTCTAGATGCCTCCCAAATGGCATAATAGAGCATCCAAGGCGGTCCCAATAGCTGCCAAAAACGCCCCAAGAGCGGCGCGAGAGGGTCTAAACAGGCGATTGTTCGGCCACAGACGGGGGGGGGCGTAATTGAGACTCACCCCTTCTATCAACAAGTCGCCCCAAATAGTGGCTCAACAGGGCCTCAGAACGCCTTCAGGGCTCCCAGAATGTTCCCACGATTTCCCGGAGGGGGGTCCAGGAGGCTCCTCGAGCGAAAGAAACCACCTCAGGCCTATCCACTCGATGCTCCTACACTTCTCTGATCAGGACAAGTCACCTGGGGGTTGGTGCTGGGTGGACTAATGGGGATACTTTTGGTCAGCAGGCTCGCGAGGCGGGTCGAACCCGTCCGAACACTAGTCGGGCCGCGACTAGGCAGCAGGAAAGAAAGGCAAGCGAACCGAGCGAGCGAGCAGCCACGCAGAAAGAGAGCCAGAACCGATATTCCCAAACCCGGTGGCGTTGGAAATCCCGGTGGCCACCAGCAAATAAGCGCAGCCAAAATGGCGCGGCGGCGCGACCATAAACATGCAGAGGTCGACCGCTCGGTGTGAGTCAGGCAGACAGCACCGTCAGAGACGAACTAGACCGACAAGTATACCAAGACGACATCCGTGAAGTAGGCGACACAAATGCCAAAACATCGTGTCGGCGCAAGAGTGAAGAGGGGAACTAATGGGGATACGCGAAACCTAAAGAATTCCGTGTCTGACTCAATCGTACGCTCGTTGCCTCTGGAAGGTTCCCTGAGGGCTCTAAGGGGCCCTTCCCCCCCCTTTCCCCCCCCCTCCCCCTCCCGCTCTCTTCTCCCTCTCCTCCCCCCTCTGCACCTCCCCCTCCTCCCTGCCCCCCTTACTCCCTCCTCAATCCCCTTCCCCCTCCAAATCCCCATCCTCCTCCGGGTGCTGGCGGCGCGCGCAGGGAGCGGCGGCGAGAGGACGGCGGCCTTCCAAGGAAGCCCGGGGGTACTCTTCAGAACGCAGAAAGGGGCGGTCTCTCGCAAGCACTCCGGGGCTTCTGAGCGGCCCTCTGTGAAGGCTCCAGGGCACTCTATGAAGCCCCCCCCCCTAGGCATGGGGGCCTCTTTCAAGTCCGCCAGGGCCTCTGCGCAGCCCTCTGTGAAGGCTCCAGGGCCCTCTGAGAAGGCCCCCCCCCGCCTTCTCAAAAGGCCGACTCCCACGATTCCAACACCTCGTGCGCGCCGCCAAACGCCAAAGGGGGGAGGGGGAGGGGGACGGTCGGGCAGAAGAGGAAGGCCGAGCAGGAGTGGGCGCGCGAGCGCGACGCTGTGCCGTCGAGACGGCCCAGGCCCTCTCGAGCGGGGCGTGCTGAAGGCCGTCGCCCTCGCGGGAGAAGAGGGGGGAGGGGAGACACGATGAAGGATAACGATAACGATAACGATAACGATAACGATCAACGATCAATGACGACGATCAACGATAACGATAACGCGATAACGATCGACGATCACGATCAACGATAACGATCACCGACAACGAGAGGGGGGAGAGAGGAGGAAGCTCCGCAGGCCATGGACGGAACGGCGGGGACCGAGGGCGGCAGAACAAAACTCCTCTGGGCCGCCGGGCCTCTCCCTCCCTGCCTCCCTGCCCCCCCCCCCCGAGGGGCGGCCTGCTCAACGGTCATGCCCTGCCCAATGCGCACGCCCACCGTGCGGTTGCGCGACAGGTTCCCGAAGCAGGTGAGGAGGATGTCGCCCATGCCAGCCAGCCTGAAGGAGGGCAGGGGGTTCCAGCTCCGATCCAAGAAAGCCACGCGAACCTCCGAACAATAATGGTCATGTCGTGTCTACTCCGGAGAAGTCCGCACAGAAACGGTTCCTGTACCCCAGGGCTTCCAGTGGGCAAGCTTCCCCCTCGAGGTTGTTGTTGGACGCCCCTTGCGCCCCATCAGGGCCCCGTGGAGACTGGAAGCAGCGAAGAACAGCGGGACCCCTCCCCGAGCCTCAGGACCTCTCTTCTGGACACCGATATTTGTCCTCCTCTGCCTCCTCCTCCCCTCAAGGATTGACCCTCGGACCTCTCCAACGGTGCGCTTCCACCAACATTCCGATTGTAATCCAGCTGCGAGGCCGAACAGAGCGAAAAGACAAACAACACAAAGACAAACAAAACACACACATCTTTGATCGCCCCCTCCCCGCGGTGGCCTCCCATAATGGGGCTAGAGCAGATGGGGTCCGTAGAGGATTACATCGCACCGCCGATGCATCGGCGACTGCGGATGACATATACATATATATATATATATAGACATAGAGAGACAGACAGAGAAATGACAAACAAACAAACCATATAGAGAGATAGAGAGAAACAGCAACAACAAACGTAACGACTACAGATCGCGTCGCACCGCGGATGCATCGGCGATGCAGCGTTCGTTCGGAACGAACTGAAGGGGCATAGCAAAAAGGGGGTCACACAGTGAATTCGTGCTGCTGGTTTTCCCAGCGACGTATCCCTTCGTCGGAAGCGCCTGGGTATCGAGCAAACCGCGCGGCGGCGAGGCCGAGGCCGGCTGCACGCAGCAATCTTGGTGCCCCCCCTTGACCTAACCCCCCCCCTTCCCCTTCCGTCCGACCCGACCCTCCGACCCCATCTGTCGGGGCGGACGATACAGTCGGCCCGTATCACAAGGATGCGCGACAAGGATGCAAGGGCCTTGGACGCCCATTTCGGAGCTTTTCGAGCGGGGCGCGGCCAACGAAAGCGGTCGAGGATGGACCGAGAAGGCAAGGATGCAAGAGTACCCTTGGGAAGGTTGCCCACCCTTACCGTGCAGGTTGACTGTATGGGCGGATCGACCAGGGGCGGGCGTTACGCGTACTCCGCCCGGGAGCCCTGTCGAATGCACGGGCGATCGGAGGCTGGAGATGCATGCATTGCTCCCCTGGGCTCGTCGCCCCTACTGTCGCCTCCCAATCTGCTCTGGCTCCATTTGGGCGGCCTGGGCCCCCGGGGGCGCCCGGCGACGGTCTCTGGTCTCGCGCCCATGGCGGTCGCCAGCCACCGGATCTCCGCGTTGCCCTGCGTGACGAGTGCCTGTCGCGCGCGAGTGGGTGCAGCCCACGATCGGAGCGGACGGGCCCGAGTCATACCCCTGGCGGCCCCCACTTGGGAGGCACAGCATGCCGGCTGAATGGCGAGTGTGGGCAGGGCTGAGCAAGGCCGAGTCTCAGGAGTCTCAGGAAGTTTGAGAGTACATGGGCTTGAGTATGCGTGGGTCTGAGCACGCGTGAGTCTTAGTGAATGGGTACGAGCTCGAGCGGTTCATAGTACAAGCGAGCCCGAGTGCGAATCGCTGCGTGGGCAAATTTGAACACGAAGGAATACCAATGGGTCACTCTGAGTATAGGTGGGTCTGCATACAAATCAGTCGGTGTATGGCAGGGAGTCAGGTAAGGAGGAAGAGGTGAAGGCTTTACACTCATGAGTGTGAGTGTGTGCAACTCTGAGTATGGGTCAGTCGGAGTGACGAGCGGATCTGAATGTGAGAGAGTGTGGGGAGGAGTAGATGCGCGCGAGAGGCTGTGAGCGTTGGAGAGCAGCAGACTCAGAACCTCGGTGCAAAGGAAAGGGAGGAGAAGGCGGGAGGTCGAAAGAAAACAAGACTGGTGGGTACCACTGGTGACGAAACCCAATGACCCAGATATGGGGGACAGATCCAAACACATCTGATGTTGCATCCTCGGGGGACCCTATCCGCGTCGAATCTGTGTCGAACCCATGTCTGCCTCATCGGATCCCTGTTGAATCCGTGTCGAATCCGAGTCGATCCACGCCAAATCCGCGTCGAGTCCGCATCATACCCGCGTCGGACAGAAAGGAAAGACACCATCTTTGAGGTAGGCGAGGTCCTCCGAAGATGCAACGTAACACATCACAACTCCCCGCCAAGACCTCCAACGCCATGATTGTTCCACGGCATGGACCCAACACTGCTGGGCGGTCCCCGACGGCCGTCCGCGGCTCCCTTAAGTCCCGACACTTTCCCCACGACTGCCTGTTCATCCCGAGTCGTTTTCTGATGGCCTCATTGGACGCACAACGACGTACTAATACTGTATGTCCTCCTTGGAGGCGCGCGTCCGACCCGAACATATAGTATACCCATCTTGTAGTAGATCGTTTCCCGAACGGTGTAGCCAGAAAGCGCCTGCCACGACCACATACTATAAGATCGTTCGGAATGCGCGTCGCTCCTGGGGGGGCGACGCACATATAAGATTAGTGCGTTGGGGTGGCGCCGATCTCAAGGCCCGATGAAGGCCCGCAAAAGGCAAACAACAACTAACAACCTTCCGCTCAGGCATTTTCCACAACACCAGGAGGTCTGGCTCCTTGAAGGCAGAAAATGTAAGACCCCGCAGCTGCGGATAATGGGAAGGGCGGGCGCGGGGTGGTTCGCGGGCGGGTCGCGGGTAGGTCGCGGGCGGGTCGCAAGTGGGTCGCGGGTGGGTAGCGGGTGGGTCGCGTGTGGGTCGCGGGTGGGTTGCGGGTGGGTCGCGGGTTGGTCGGACATTGGTCGCGGGTTGGTCGGACATTGGTCACGGCGGCAAGACGACGACAACAATATCAACACTCGTTTTAAGACGGTTCGCTCTTATCTGCTCGCGTGCCACGCAGCACGTATATTCCAAATCCTCGGCGCCCGCCCCCTTCGTCTTCGATCATACCCCCTCTTGGGGGTAGATCTTCCCTACCTGTAGCAAGTAGTTGGCGCGGCCTATGAAACAGGGGAAGGAAAGGACGAGTGAAGCGACAAGAGGGAGCATGTGATATTGAGAATCATTTGCAAGAGGAGGGTTAGCGCAGCCCCTCAAACAGAAGAAAAGAAGGTTGAAGGATTGAGCACGAGAGAAATTAACATGAGGGAGCTTAAGAGCAGAAAACACGTGGCAGAACCAGACGGACAAATAGGGTGGGCAGACTCTAATGGGCCGGTTGGGAATGCGGGTCCAGACGGTCAGGTCGAGCAGGCGGGTTGCTGAAGCTTGAGTATTGCATGATTCGCGAGGAAAGATCGAGCGATAGCGCGATCCCCAAGTAATCCGCAGGGGAAGCACAAACGAGAGCATGACTCCGGAATGTCGAGGGCGCGGCGTATGATTAATTGCAAAGACCTCCCACGCGAGAGCGCGATTCCTGCATACATTGTGAGGAAGTCCCGCGCAAGAGCGCGATATCCAAATACATTGTGAGATCGTATCGGGCTGGAGCGGTTGTTGCTGTTGTTGCTGCTGCCGCTGTTGATGTTGCTGTTGGTGTTGTAAGTGTTGTTGTTGAACATTATTAATTCTAAAGAATAATTATTGTTGGGACCCCTGGTGCACGGCCCCCCTGCGCCGCCTAGGCCGCAGCTGCATTTTCATCATTTTCGTGAGGAAGCCTCAGGTAATTCGATGTGATCAAGATCCGGTTGTTTTGTTCCCCCCCGCTTTCCCTTGCAAAAAACACTATAAAATGACATTTCTTGTTCTAATATAATCAAATTTCAAGAATCCCTTGCAAAAAATAAGGTAAAGTGGACATTCGCGCGCGCAAGACGAAATCCTTCCAAAAGCTTAGTGTTCGGAGCGATTTCAACATAAAAACATCAAAAAACCAATGGTTTTTCAACAAAAAAATGTCAAAATCTCATCCCGCGCGCTCTTGCGGATTCGTAGGAAACCCAACACTTTTTAAACATTTCTGTCAAACGGGCTTTTGCGAGCAACTTTTTCGAACTTCTGCGACAACGGTTGCGCACCTGCCAGGGCCATCATCCCTGTCAAATAATACCATGCGGGACACATTCGTTTTTTCTTCGCGCGCGCACGCCGTCGTCGTCGGCCGCGGGGCCCTGAATAGTAGCCACGGTCGTCCGCATGCCACGAAGTGAAGTGTCCGAACGTCATAGGGCGGGAAGCTGGGTGTGGGTGGTGGCGAAGAGTCGTTTGGAAATTTGGTAGAGCTTGAACCGGCCCCCCCACAAAGTGGGGGTATTGCCCGCCTCCTATGAAAACCCTGGCACTGGTGAGACCGGAGTGTCCCCAGTCTTAAATGATTGTTGTTGTTGTTGTTGTTGTTGTGCTGTTTCTTGTTGTTGTTGTTATTGTTGGGTTTGTTGTTGTTGCTGCTGTTATGGCTCGGCCGCGTGATTTCTTATCCTAGCCCTGCTGCTCTCTCGAGTTCCATCGTCCTCCCTCGCCCTTGTCCCTTCCTTCCATCCTTCCTCTCTTCCCCTGCCTGAGGGGTTGCACAAAATCCGCGTTGCACGTCAGAAAGACAACCTCCCAAAGGGGTACGATTTAAGACGAAGAGGGCGGGTATCGAGGTTTTCGGATATACGGGCTGAATGGCACGCGACCAAATCAGAGCGACCAAATTTACAATGATTGCTGGTGTTGATGGTGTAGCTGCTGATGCCGCTGTTGTTGTTGAGTTCGAATGTCAAAGAAAACGTGTTGTTGATACCCACCCCCGGTAACCGCTGAGTCTTCCTATTCAGATGCTTCTCCCGGGACAGCAGCTGCCGACTGATACTTCCTCACAGTGCCTTTCCAAATCGCGCTCTCGCGCGGAGCTTCTTCACAGTGTATATGCAAACGTCGCGCTTTCGCTTGGTTCTCCATCGCAATGGATTCAGTCGCCGCGCCCTCGACAGCGCTCTCGCTGTGGGTTGCCTTACGATGTATTTGGGAATCGCGGGCTTGAGACTTCCTCGCGATTCATGCAAGACGCACGCTTCAGCAACCCGCCTGTTCGACCTGGCCGCCTGGGCTCGCCTTCCCGACCCGCGTGTTACCGTCTACCCGCCCGATCCTTCTAGGGACTCTACGCGTGCAGCCCCTACTACGGACTCGATTGGGGGCTCGACGAGTGGGGGCCCTACTAGGAACTAGAGTAAACGAGATGCCCAACATTGAAGTCCGATGAGAGGCGCCTTGCCAGGAAGCCATAGACAGAGAGCCTGGCCAGGTATGCAGCTCAGATCAGCGAAGCTGCGCTGAACAGCAGGGATGTAAATCTGAAAGGAGACAGCGCCTACGATTTGCTACATCAGCCGCTACCTGACATGTTACTACTACGATTACTCTTTCTTCCACCACCACTACTTCCACTCCTGCTCCTATCGTAACTAAGCTCACTACGACTACTGAACAGCAATTACTACTACTTCTTCTACAAATGCTACTGATACAATTTCTACGACTACTACTACGCGTGCTACTCGTGCTGCTGCTACTACTACTACTACTACTACTACTACTGCTACTACTACTACTACTACGACTACTACTACTACTACTACTACTACTACTAGTGCTACTAATAGTATTACTACTAGTACTACTACTTCTACTGCTACTACGACGAACACTACTACTACTATTACTACTACTACTACTACTACTACTACTAGTACTACTACTACTACTACTACTACTACTACTACTACTACTACTACTGTTGCTACGAGTACAACGTTTACTACGACTACGACCACCAATACTAAGACCTGGACGATGGCTACGACCACTACTACGACTACTACGACTACTACTACTACGGCAGCACCTACTACTACTACGACTACTACTGCGACTACTAATACTACTACCACCACTACTACTACTACTACTACTACTACTGCTACTACAACTGCCACTATGACTACTACGACTACAACTACGACTACGACTACGACTACGACTACTTCTGCTACTACTACTACCACTGCTACTACGACTACCACTGCTGCTGCGTCTGCTGCTGCTTCTACTACTACCACTACGACTACGACTTCGACAGCTACTTCTAGTTTCACTAAGGCTACTACTACTACTACTACTACTACTGAGACATATGTTCCATCTACTTCTACTACGACTACTACTACTGCTACTACTACTACTACTACTACTAATACTAATACTACTACTAGTACTAGTACTACTACTACTACTACGCATGCGACGACTGCTACTAGCACGACGATTACGACTACTGCAACAACGACGTCCATGTGTAATACTGACGACGACGAGTAATACATCGAC